CGTCCGGCTGAAGAGTTTGTGAATTCTCACTGCCGAGTTTCCAGCCCGAGATGATTATCGGCTGAAAGTTGATGAGTTGCTTTCAACTGCGAGGTTTTCAGCCGATGATGATTTTATCCGGCTTGGACGGGTTGATGATTTGCCTCAATACTGCGAGGTTTTCCAGGAGATGATTTAACTCCGGATGAAGAGTTTGAATGAATTGTTCATCTGCCGAATTTCCAGGCCGAAGAATGTTTTTTAAAAACTCGGCCTGAAGAGTTGAGATTTTTTTGCTCAACTGCGAAGGTTTTTCCGCCGAGAATGTTGTTACCTCCGGCTGGTGAGTTTGAAAAATGGCTTTGCCTTCACCCGAGGGTTCGAGGTCGGCGTTCTTTTGTCCGCCCGGAAAGCCAAGTGGCGGGAGCGGGACCTTGCTCCTTCTTTTTTGGAGTTTCTTTAGCCGGTTTGATTTGTCGCCAGAAGGATCCGCGGGCGGGAACCCTTGCTCCTTCTTTGGATTCTTTGGGGCCCAGCTTGATCTTGTCGCCAAGAGGAAGTTTGGGAGGATGCTTTGCCTTCTTTGGAGTTTCCTTGGGCGAGTGAAATCTTTGGTTCCACAAGAAGGAAAGTCGCGGAGACGGACCTCGCTCGCGACCTTAGGAAAGTTCCTTTGAACGAGCTTGTTTGTTGTCGCCAAGAAGCAAGTCGGAGCGGACTTGTAGCTAGACCTTGGAGTTCTTGCCGACTGTTTGTCGCAGAAGCAAGTGCGGAGCGGAACCTGCTCGCCGACTTGGAAAGTTCTTGACGAGCTGTGTTTGCTCGACAAGAAGCAGTCGCGGACGGACCTTGCTTCGCGCTTGGGGAAGTTCCCTGACCGATGTGATGTTGCTCGCAAGAAGAAGCGCGGAGCGGACCTTGCTCCTCTGACTGTGAATTCTTGAAGAGCTGAATTTGTTGCGTCGCCCAGAAAGGAAGTCGTGGAGCCGGAACCTTGCTTCGTTTTAGTGGGGTTACATCTGCTATTAGGCTGAGGAGTATTACCCGATCAGGATAGGTTAATTCCAGTCCACGCTTCAGCGGACGAATTAAGGGGCAATTGAAAGAGGGAGATTTAAATGAATATGGGACCTTTGTGGGAACAATTTTTGGGGGCCCGGAACAGATTTTTCGACAGATTGGGGAAGTTTGTGCCGGACATTTTGGGCCGGAACAGAGTTGTGCCGGAAAAGAAGTTTTGGTGCCGGATCAGATTTGGGCCGGACAGATTGGGCGGCAGAAGTTTGGACTTGAAGTGGTGGTGACTCGGACGAACCGCAACTGCTCGCAGGAAGTGAAGGTCGCGATGCTTCGGTCCGAGGATGGTCTAGCCAGACAGCGAGTGACGGCGCCCGAAAAGGCGTGGTAGCCGAGGTAAGTTGATTGAAACGCAGGAGGCCGACCAAAGGAAAGGTACGGGCTTAGGCGTTGCGGGATGCCGCTAGCCCGGTCCTCCATGGTGGTTTTGTCTGGTTTAGGCCGCATGGGTTTAAAAATGAAGCATGGCATGGCGTGGTTTAGAAACAGCTAGGCTAGCCTGAGCTCAGCTTGTGGAAGTCAGGCAAGTTAAGATTTAGGTGAATGTTTCGAAGGATCATGCCTGAACAGATAGGGATAGCAGAGCCAGGTGTCAGGAGATGACTTGGGAGTGGGTAAGGGGCTCAGAAGGTTATATAGGCATGTCTGCGTCCAATAAAACGATAGGAACATTGTAAAAGAAATCTTACAAACATCTTCTCCTTCCTCTATTCCTCTAAGGTTGGTGTGCTTAAACTTGACCGTCGGAGGGTTTTTTTTCCAGGAAACACCGCTGGGTAGCTCATCTTATTGACTCGCGGTGATGGAATCCGACGGAGTAGGAGAAAGGATTAACGGGCAGGCCGGAAAATAATCCGCTCCGTACAATAATACTTAAATTTTATATATCTTATTGTTAAAGGGGTTATTAATGTAGGTGCAAGGTGTGTTTAATGAATTTGAATTTTTGTTCAAGGCGCTCGCCGCGACTTGTACGTTGCTTACGGCAATCGAGGTTGAACTTTCTGGGCAGAAGTAACTTGGCAAGATTGAAAGAAGCTTCAACATCCATTGGGGTTCAACCTCTAAACCGAAGCTGCAAAGTTGGTGATCTGTTTGGGAGCTCATGCACCAAGAATTTTTTCCTCAAATTTCTTTGGATTCAACACTAAGGAGAAATGTTTTTTGGAAATTTTTGCTGTCTGGATTCGGCACCCAGAGAAAATCAAAGGATCAGAGCCAAAAATTCCTGTGTTATCCTGAATTGGGCAGCCATGCAAGTTTTTCATTTGAATGCATGCTCTTACATGGAAGATCAAAAAATCTACAAGTTATTGATGTGTCCAACTGATATTTTATGTTTAGTATGAGTTCAAGGATAGTTTGTTTACATCTACGTTGCTAACTACGAAGTCCTCTTGGTGTGGTTTTTTGCATTAGAGCTTGGGGTAGCTTTTAATTTAATATATATATTATATATTATTCTATTTTAACTTACAATTTGCTTTGCAATTTCAAAGTGCTTGTTATGGCAATCTTTTGCTGGTCTCAAAGAGTCATAGTGTCTCCATATTCCATCAGCATTGTCAAAGACCACAATTGTCCAATGGTTGTCGTGGTTGATTGGGAAATAGATGTATCTGTTTTTCATTGCTTCTGGAAAATGGCTGTCCATCATTTTTTCTCTTAGTGTTTGATCTTGGTTTTGTAGTGGAGTCTGTAAGTTATATATATGTTTGAAATATGTTATAAAACTATGTAGTAATACATGTTGATAAAGTAGAAAATTTTGCAGTTGTAAGGTATGTTAAGTTTTGCTTACATTGATGAGTGTTGAGAAAACGTAAGATCTTCCTGCGTATGGATTGCTTGCAAAGACTAGATCGTTTTTCTCAAATTCTTCAATGGTTGGTTGGAGTGCCAATTGCTTTTCTGAGAAGGCATCAATGACCTGAAACATGTTATATATGAGAATGTGTTAGGTTTGTGGAATAGGTTATTGAATATGAACAGAAACTGTAAAATTGTGCAGTTGGAGACCTACATTCCCATATAAGGGTTCCCTGTTGGTCAATTTACATATATCTGAAAAGTATACGCAGTTTTCATCTTCGCTGCCAGACCAGACACAAGCATTTGATTGTGTGTTGTTGATGAGTTGAATTTGGTCTTGGTCTTTTTTGGATAGGCTATGCCAAACCTTGTTTGTTTTGCGGCATGAAATGGCGAGTGGTTTGTTTTGGATTGATTCTTCCTTGAAATCATCATCACTTTCCAATACTTGAAGTTGTGTCTTCTCTTGATTGGCATCCTCTTTGGGGTTGGTTTCAGCAGCAACTACTTTCTATTGGCCAATATCTTCTTGCATCTTTTCTTTCTGCTGTTGTTTTGCTTTATGAGCACCCTCTTTTTGCTCGGGTTCAGTAAAAGGTTCTGTTTCTGTTTCGATTTCTTCTTTTTTCTTTTCATTCTTCTTCTCTTTTTCTTTATCAGTACCCTCTGTTGGTTTGGGTACATCAGCAGCAGTTTGTGTCTTGTTCCTTGTATCTTCTTTGGCTTTTGTCATTGGTTGGTATTCAAAATCTAGGTCATGTGCTTGTTTTCTTGACTTTTGTTTGATTCTCTTGACCATTGATCTTTGTTGGGGGCTGCCAATTTTTTTGGTGGACATTTCCTTCAATTGATCTTCTTTTTTACGCAATTCAACCATAAATTTTTGTTCCATATCTTGCATTTGTGCTCTCATGGCTGATATGAGCTTGTCCTTGTCGTCCTCTTTGGTTGGTGTTTGTGCTTGGTCATGACCTATAAAAATGTTGGATTGTGTTTTGGTTAGTTTAATTAAATTTTGCAGTTTGCTTTAGTATTAGACAATAGTTTACCTTGTGCATGAAATATGTCAGATTTCTCTTGGAGTTCTTCTTGTTGGTTTGTCAGTTCTTGTTCATTGACTTCTTGTTGTTGGTTTGTTTGTTGTTCTTCTTGTTCTTGTTGTTGGTCTTCTTCTTCATCAGTGTCTTCTTGTTGATCACCTTTTGCTTCTTGTCTTTCTTCTGCTTTATCATTGTCTTATTGTTCATCAGGTTCTTCTTCTTCAATTTCTTCTTCATCAGCTTTTTCTTCATCAAGCACTTGTTTTTTTTCATCATCACTCTCTTTTTCTTGTTCATCACATTCTGGTTCTTCTTGTGGTTTTTGCTTTCTTTTCTTTTTTTGTTGTTCTTCTTCTTGTTCTGATTCTGATTCTGATTGATGTTCTTCTTTGAGAAAGTCATCCTCATCACTGTCTGGAAGTCTTTTTTTTTTGTTGCTTTTGTTTTTTTTCCCGCTTATTATCATTTTTGTGGTCATGTTTCTTTGCTAAAGAGTTTGTTGATGTGCTTTGATTGATATGCAATAACTGTATTTCTTGTTCAGTTGAGGTTAAAGTACTTTGGTTAACCTGCATTGGAACAATGTGGCACATATCAGTAATCATAAGATGAGTTGTACTGTGAGTAATGTGGGTTATGTGTCGAAATATGTTTCTTGAAACTGAAAATTTTTACAGTTTCATAATATGATTTGTATTGTGAATAATGTAAGTCAAGTGTTGAATATATGTTGTTTGAAACTGAAGAATTTGAAAGTTTCATAACATAATTTTTACTATAATGACTGTGAAATGAGTGTTGAATAGATTTGTACTATGATAGTATAGAAGAGTTTGAATATTTTTTCAAAGTGAGCAAGGCTGATGTGTTTCCACCTGGAGTACATTTTGCCAAGGTTCCATTTCATAAACCTTGGGAAGCCTTCTTTGTTGGATGGTCAGAGTAGTTTACTGCGCTCATAGTACCAGTACTGTAAAAAAAAATTGAAATATGTTAGATAGTTGGAAATAGGTGGATGTCTGATATTTTTGTGTGAAGTAGTTGAGTAATGTGTTTACCAAGAGTAACATGACGCATCCCGTAACATGCCTTGGGTTGTTATTTGCATTTGCCATTGAATTCATCATTGTGTCTTTTATTGCCTCAACCCAATTGTACTTCTTGATGTTGTTGAGATTGTCAACATAGTTGAGGAAACTCAAACTGAGTGTATGGCCTGTTGTAGGCATGAGAAGTTTCAAGCATAAGTAAAGGGTGATGACCCTTGCAAGATTTTGACGATCATTGGTTGATTTTCCTTTTTTTGTTTGTTAAAATATTTTGGTCAAAGACTTGTCATCCAATCTCTTTACTGATTTGCATCTTCGTTTGTAAAATGGAAGTTCAAGATCCTTTGGTCTTGCATAGGATTTGGTGGTGATGATGTCTTCTCCACAGTCGATACCAAAAATGAGCTTGACATCACTGTTTTTGAGTTTCATTTTCTTTTTGCCAAGTATAAATGTTCTTTTTCTTTTGTTGTAGAGTGTTGTCATTTCTGCTACAATGGAATTGTAGCATCTGCACCAAGAGGCCTTCAGTTGTGTTGAGGAGAGAGCATTTATAATGAGCCAAAAAGGAATTTTTTCCAGCTATGTCTGTTGGGCTTTTGTGAATTTGACCCCCTTCAATGGTTTGATTACTGTTCCGATGTTGGAACGGTAATTAAATTGTTGGACTCCCTTTGCAGGGACTGCTGCTTTTTTCCCTTTTGATGTCTTGGTTTTTGTTTTGGGAGTTGATTGGCTTTCTTGGAGCTTTCTTTTTTTGGTTGGAGGAGCTTCTTGTTTTTTTGCTGGCTTTCTTTTATTTGTTTTTGTTGTGGTTGGAGGTGCGGTTGGTGTTTGTTGTGTGGGTGGGGTCTGTGGTGTAGTTCTTGGGCTTTTTCTTGTAGGTAGTGTGGTTGTTTTGTGGATTTTTTGGTGGGGTCTGTGGTGTTTGATTATTTTTGGTTGTGGTGGTTGGGTTTTTTGTGGAGGGGGAGATGTTGGTGGCATTTCAGTGGACACAGGAGAAGAACTTTCAAAAGGGGAGATACTTAAACCCCTGATTAGATTTTTGGGCATATGAATTTGTTTCTTCCAATATCTTCCAACAGCTATTTCTGAAAAAATGAAAGCGACAGTAGGGTATGAGTAATATAGTGACAAAACTGTATAATTTTGAAGTTTTATATGCAGTTTAATATGAAGTTATATGTATTTGTTGGTAATAGTTACGAAACTGTATAATTTGACAGTTTGATTTGCACTTTATAATAAGTTACCTATTTGTTTTGAGTAGTGATTAAACTGTGTAATTTTGCAGTTTCATTTGCAGTTTAAATAAATTTAGATATGTTACTTGTAGAGTGATGAAATGAAACTGCATGATGTTGCAGTTTTTATAAACAGAATCAACAATAAGAATAGCTCATTGTATTTTGTAAACAACAACAATAACAACGAGAAGATTAAGTATTTAATAATAACAATAAGAAAAGCCAATATTGTGATATCCCTGTTCCGTAATATGTTAATTGGTCCTTAATATGAGTTTGATTATGTGTTTAATATGATTTTGTGTGCCATTATGTGAAAATATGTGGTTTTAAAGTTCTATCTGTTCACCGTAGGAATATCTGTTTGATTATCTACTTTGTAAATTAAATTGAAGGCCTTATTGGCCACAGAACCCGAAATTGATTGCGCCATTGTAATTAACGTAATTTTTAGAGCCTACGGTGAAATTTGATTGAAATTTGATTCAGATCAAATTAAATTGATGAATTAGTGCCCAATTACTTTATTATTATTATATTGAAATTAGTGGAATTGGTTGTAATAGAGCACTACACCCTCAATTCTCTCTTTAGCTTGATTTGGCTGATTTTGAACTCAAAGAAGAGAGAGGGCCGGCTATAGAGAGAGAGAGAGAGGGAGAGAATTGTGTAATCTTGGCTCAAGGTTTGGGGAATTTGAAGATTAAACTCAAGAATTTGCTATAGTTTGGAAGATTGAGCTCCTAGGTAAGCGAATTCATGAGTTTAATGTTGTAAATTGTGAATTCAAGTTTGATTAATGGTCAAGAACATGAGTTAGATTGATAATGATGAAATTGAGTTGGTTTTGTTAAATTTGAAGTCTTAGAACAAATGCATGTGAGAAATTGCCATAAATTTTCATGTTTGAGCATAAAGTATGTAATCCATGTTGAGTTTTGATTGATGACCATGTATTTGATCATCTCTTCACCAATTAAGTTGAGGATATTGTGTATATTTCACATGCAAGTGCAAATCATGGGAGTTTGAGTCTTGCATGTTTGAATCTAGTGTTGGTGATGAGTTTGAGTTAATTTGAGACATGCATGTGATTAAATTATGAAATTGAGGTTCATTGTGTTGTAATTTGGTGTTTATACCATGTTAGAATATGTATATGTGAAGTTTGAGCCAAAATCATGCATTTGGAACCTTTGAACATCAAATTGAAGCTCAACAACATGTTCTGGATTTTCCAGAACTTTGATATCCGCTCGAGCGGGGAAACCGCCGCTCCAGCGTAAAATTCATGTTCCCAGTATTTTCTGCAAGCATGGTGTCCGCTCGAGCGGGTAAGTTCACGCTCGAGCGGGAAGCGGGTAAGTTCACGCTCGAGTGGGGAGCCATGTAGAGAGGCCTTCCGCTCGAGCGCCAGAGTTCGCGATCGAGCGTAAATTTGACATATCTAGTACTTTTGTAGGCCTCGTGGGTCCGCTCGAGTGGGGAAGCTCACGCTCGAGCGGGGACCCTGTTTTCTGAAATTTTGAAAATGCATTCTGTGTTCCATTTTCCATTCTCTTTCGCTTGCAAGCATTCTTAGGCATACATTGAGCATTATAAATGAGTTAAAGAGATAAGAATGAAGCCTAAAGAGGAAAATGTGAATTTAGAACGGATCGAATTGTTTGTGACCCTTTTGTGTTCATGGAATGTGTAGGGTCGAGCTCCAGAGCAAACCAACCAACCGATCACTGTGACTTTGATGTCCGCTCGAGTGGGGAAACCGCCGCTCCAGCGTAAAATTCATGTTCCCAGTATTTTCTGCAAGCATGGTGTTCGCTCGAACGGGGAGCCATGTAGAGAGGCCTTCTGCTCGAGCGCTAGAGTTCGCGATCGAGCGTAAATTTGACATATCCAGTACTTTTGTAGGCCTCGTGGGTCCGCTCGA